CAGGTGAGATGGCAGCTCACTGCAGTTATTTTCTGAGGACACAGGCTCTTGAATGATTCTAGCATGGAGGCTCGGAGTCAGTGCTTTCAATCTCAAAGTCAAGGCAACTGTGAGCCTGGCCATTTCCCAAGGGGACCTCAAGAACTTATCTGGTCCTATTGCCCTGTCTTTAGGCAACTACTTAATTATTCTCCTCATTTTCTGGGCAAGAGAGCTGAGACCCAGTGGGGTTAGGATATTTTTTTCATAGACCCAGTCTCCTGACTGCCAGGGAATCAATATTTCCTCCTCAGTACCTTGTAGGATCTTTTTTCTTGGCATTCCCCCAGATTCCTGGTCTAGCATACCAAAATACTCCGGGCTGACCATACTCAGGGCTCTGTCTCAGGCTGCTTCCCAGGTCAATAAGGGATCATGCATGGCCATTCTTAAGGGAGAAGATTACATTCTGTTGGGCTAATCACTCAGTTGTCAAGATTCATTTTAGAGGAATTCAAAGTATAAATATTTGGTGTTTGCCTAGATCATGGTTGTTCAGTCTTGACACTATTGACATTTTGGATCAGAAAATTCTTTGTTGCAGGGGGTTGTTTTATGTATTCTACATGTGTAACAGCATCCCTGATCTCTGGCTAACTAGTCTCTGCCTATAGCCTTCACCTACCTCCAATTTCTTTTTCACAGAGCTTTCAAGTTAATCTTCCCAAACATAGTAGTGGTTCTCAATCGGAGGTGATTTTGCCCCCCAGGGGAAATTTAGCAATGTCAGTGGTTAAGAGATCAGCTGCTAACCAAAAGGTTGGCAGTCTGAATCCACCAGCTGCTCCTTGGAAACCCTATGGGGCAGTTCTACTCTGTCCTATAGGGTCACTATGGGTCAGAATTAACTCAAAGGCAATGGGTTTTTTTTTGGGGGGGTGGCTGGAGACATTTTTGGTTGTCACAACTAGGGGAGGGTGCTACTGACATCCAGTGGGTAGAGGCCAGGGATGCTGCTAAACATCCTACAATGCACAGGACAGCCACTATTACCAACAAAGAATTATCTGGCCCAAATATCAATACTGCCCAGTTTGAAAAGCCTTGAGTTGTCATATCATCCCCAGTCAGAAACTTTCACTAGCTACGTGTGGAAAAGATGACAGATTTCATAACCCCTCCTGATCTAGACTCAGCTTATAATTTCCCAACTATATCTCCTTTTCTGCAACTGTTATGAACAGAGTGCTATTTCTCAAGCATGTGGTCTATTTTCTCACTCGTGTAATTTTGCTCACACAACCTCTCCCTCTTGCTGGAATGCCCACTTCCTGCTACTAAAGTTAATTTGTAATGCTATCTCCCCTATAAAGCCTTACCTGAGCCTGAATTCTCCCAGCTACAAATAACTCCTCATTCCATGGACGTTCCTATAGTACTTTACTTACATGTCTTAAAGCACTGATCACATTCATACTATTATGGAAAATTTGAATTTGAACATACATTTATAAATATCTTCAGCAAAATCTGCTCCAGTTAAAGAAAAGGAAACTGAGGCCCAAAAAGGTAAAATGATTAGTTGAAAGCATCATACTTGCCCATAAAACTTGGACCACAGTAATTTGTGTCCTTGGCTTTGCCCTCCTAGCATGGTTGAAATGGATGACCATGGACTTTGAGTTAAGCTGGTATTCGAATTTCAACTCTGACACTTACAGTTGGCCAAGTCATTTACTTTTCTGAGACTCAGTTCCCTCAGCTGTAAAATGCAAATAATTATGGCTGTTTTGAGAATCAAATGGATTGTATATTCAAAGTGGCTGGCACAGAGTAGACAATAAATACTTTTCAGATGAATAGAAGAATCAACAGTACTTCAGGGAATGGGACCTAGGGATTGGTGATGGTCCATGAGTCTTCACTAACAGGATGTTTGGAGGCAATGGATGGCAGCTTGTTGCCACTGCTCCCTACTTCTGCATCCTTCCATAGGAAACACAAGTCCCTCCGTAGGCCATCAGACCAGCGTCCACGCTTTCTGTGGTGTAGCTGAGTACTGACAATGGCTCTCAAACTGGAAAGGGAATTCCTAAATGGTCTGTTTTTGTTTTATTTTTTCCTTTTGCAATGCCAGTGATACAACTTTTCTGCTCCCTCAAGCAGATAGCAGGTAGGGTTGTAGGGAGGGGGGTGGATAGAAGTTATATTCCTTCTGTTTCTCTTTAGCTTCCTGTGAAGCAGAAGTCTTGGGCTTGGGTGTTTTTCAGTGGCCTAATAAGAGTTTCTGTGAGAGGAAACCCTCAGTGTATAGAGGTGACAATGAAAGCACTTTGGTGTTGGTTCCTAGCCCAGTAGTACCTGGTTCTGACTTTAGTAAGGTTTATTGAGGCCTTTCTAGCCAGCTCTCCACTCTGGAGTTGCCCGCTCTGTCAGTTTTCTTCCTGCCGAGGGCTTTGGGATAATGACATTCTATGCATTTATTCCTTTCATTTAGTGAAACAAGTTTTTCCCTGGTCCCAGGGTGCATGTACCTAACAGAAATATCCTTGCTACTCTAATGAGGGGATGACCTGACAGGCAACTGAAGAAACAGAATTAGACTTCTGATGCCTTGCCTAGAGGAGACTGGGAGCACGCTGGGGAGGAAAAAGTTGCTTGATAGGGATGCTATCCCAGAGCTGGCTCCTGACTACTCTGCCATGTAAACACAGGAGACTTTGGTTGAAGGGGCTGGGGGAGAAGCTCAGGTGAGTCTATTGCAAATTAGTTTAGGTGCCCCATCTCTAGGGTTTATAGCTTCAAGGGTCCTATAAGAGGAAAATGGCTTTTGGGGGATGAGAAAATCACCGGAGGGCAGAACACTGGATTGGGATTAAAGATATTTGGTCTATATCCCTGGCCTCCTCTTTCTGTGGATTGCATTGTTTCTATAGCTGTTATATTCTATTTCTCATCATGATTTTGAGTGGGAACACAGGATTTCAGGAAGTTATATGACTGCCCCAACCTACTGATAAAGTACTGTCTCCTCTGAAGGAGTATGACTTGACTCTTGCTATAGGAGGGGATAGAGATTATTCATTTCTTCATTTATTCAAGGACAAGAAAGAAAGGTATATGGTGTTATGAAAACCTCTGATAAGGGGATGTGACTTGGGGAGGTCAGGGAAGGATTTAATTAATTATTTGAGGAATTGACGATTAAACTGAGCACTGATGAATGAACACTGACTAGGCAGATAGTGTGTGTGCATACATGCACACAAAGTAAGCATTTCAGGCAGAGTGAACAAAATGTGCATGGTGAGAAGGATCATGGAACATTCCAGAAACAAATAGAATATGTATGTGGCTGGTTTTAAAACTTTAATTAAAAATTTAAGCCATAGTTTTGGGTGTTGAGGATTAAAAATGCGAGTGTAACCAGCTTCAAAGTATTGTTAGTCTAAATCACTCATACTGAGCCCTGTCAGCAGAACACTCTGAGGAGTTATCAAAAAAAAAAAAAAAAATAGACAAATACATCCACATTGCTGAACCAACAATCTAGATAAGGCAGATTAAAAAAAAAGGAAACGCAAATTTTTCTCCCAATGTTTCACCCAACAGGTACAGCTGTATATGGGGTGTAGAGATGAATTTCTATAGGGCTACTCGGTTGACATGACTTGAGCGCACTGGAGTTAATCAGTGAAGACTTTCTGGAGGTGCTGAGTCCTGTATAGTGTTCTGGGGAAGATATGAATTGGTGAATAAGGAGAAAAGGAGTTCCTGGCAGGAGAGATAGCATGAGTGATGACTTTGTGGTAGAAAGACTATTTCTGAAGTAGAAAATTTGGGTTAAAGTAGACTGGCCTAAGTTGAAAATCAAAGCAGTCTAACTTGGTGCCATCTTAGAGTCTTTCTTTGACATGCCAAGCAATCAATTGAAAGGAAGAAAATTCAGGTTCACTTGGCACCATGGGGACGGAAATCATTGGTTATTTGACTGAATTTAGCCTTTGAAAAAATAGTCATGAAGATAAGTCTTGACGGCCCCCCCTGACTGGTTGTAATCAGGACTAGCTTTCTGCAAGCCCTGAGGTAGGTGAAGTAGGTGAAGGTGTGGCTGCCTAACTTTTTCAGGACCCCTCTGCAGTTTTGTATCACTGAGCATCTACCCCAATTTCCTGTGTCATGTTTGCTTAACCACTTGATTTTAGCAGTCAGTTACTCTGATCCCCCTTAAAATAATAGCGCTCCTTTTTTCCTTGGGCACTGACACTTTCTGAGGGGACCCTGAAAAACCACAAATCCTTCAAAGTAAGGAATCTACCTCTGATAGAATGACTGGTGTCGGGGACAATGTTTTTGAGTGGGTGACCTTTCCCATTATCCTTCAAACTGAAACCACCCCCTTAGAAGCTTAGTCTTGATTCTAATGCATATTTTCTCCCTGGGTTTTGAAAGGTCAGGTTAGGATAGAGACATGTAGTAGGAAGCAAGGGATTTGATTTTGTTTGTCAAGTTTCCTAGTAATGCAGGATATGTCTCTTTGAAAGCAGCCCATACACTGTAGTATATCACTGTGGTTAAGAGCATGGAGCTTTAGGTTCAGGATAAGCCTGGGTTCATACCCTTACCTACCACTTTCTAGCTGTGTGATTTTTTACAAGTTACTTAACTTGTGCCTCAGTTGACTCATCTTTTGTAAAACAGAGATAATAAGAGTACCTAGCTCATATGGTTGCTGTAATGATCAATCTATGTGTAAAGAGCTTTGCATAGCGCTTGACACCTGGTCAAGTCATTCTTGTCTTCATCGTCATCAACATTGCCACCACCACCCCCAGGATCCTACCATAACAGGAGATTACAATTTTATAAACTGTTTCCAAAGCAAAGAACCAGGAAGGAAGGAAACGGGATGCCCAGTCACATTCACTGTTTTCTATTTTCACCCTAATCCTAACACCCCAAAGAGAATATATGAGAAGATAACCCAACCCTCATGTTTACCTCTGTCTCTATTTTCTCAGGTACCTGTCAGCTTGGTTGGGCCTATTACTGTGCTGGAGGTGGAGCAGCTGCAGCCATGTTGATCTGTACCTGGCTTTCCTGCTTTGCTGGAAGAAATCCCAAGCCAGTCATGTTGGTGGAGAGTATCATAAGGAACACCAATTCTTATGCCATGGAGCTTGATCACTGCCACAAACCTTGAGCTTGGGCAGAGGAGTGGAGAGGGTGGGAAAGGGGAAGGAATGGAGTCCTGAAAAGAGGTACCAAGACTAGGCCAGTTGCCACCCATTTGCCAGTAATGTAACCTAGTGTTTGCATGCTTTTTAACTTAGCTATCATTCATTTTCACCTTCCCATAAGCCAGTAGGTCAGTGGCTATATACAAAATTCATCTAGAACAGTGTCCTCAAACTTATACCCAGTCGGTGAGTATCCACTAGCTTCCAAGTCCCAAAGTGTTCCTTTATGCAAAATAAGGGGAATGCAGCTCTTCAGAGTTCTACAGCTTCTATCTACCACTTAGCCCCAAAGTTTAAAGGATGAGTTAGAACAGTTGTACAAGGAGGGGCCAGGAGACAGGCAGGGCTGGTTCCTACCACTCCATTCTTATGATCCTCCACTTGGTATTTATTGCCACCCTCAAATATCTCTGGAGTACTACTACTCAAATTGTTATGACTCTTCCTCTTTTCTCTTGATCCTCTTCCTCCCCAGTTATGAGAGTGTTTGGAGGGAGGGTATCTGATTCCCAGTGGGAAAAACACTAATCAAGGATGCTTGCATATAGTCTGGGGCCCCTTCCTTGTTATGCCTTAGAATAGTCATAGACATTCATTTTGTGTCCTGGCTGGGTGAGTGGCATGAAAATATAGTTGTAAGCATTCCCCAGTCCCTTACAGATACAGAAGTGGAGTTTATCAAATGTTCTGAGCAGAAACTAGCATTTGCTGAGCACTCAATAAATACGAATTCACAATGATGCGGATGATGATGTTTCTGCTGGCTCCTTATCGAAATTTCTATCATAGTTCACTTCTCTTGACTAGGAAATCTGCAGTGGCCTCTTGCCCCTGTGGTCGTTCCTAGAATGATACAAGTTTCTCTATTTCAAAGACTGCTTGTCAAATGCTTTCCTCTCCATCTGGGGTGAGTTAGACATGAATGAATACAGCTCTGATGTCACTTAGGGCTGATATATTTTTAGGCCTGGCCTCCATCCCATCTGTGCTCAAGGCTGACGGATGGTGTAGAAGAACTTGGTGTCTCCTGGGGGCAGAAATTGTCTCAATACCCCCCCCCCAACAATTAATTCAGGCCAGCTCTATTGTTCCATAACTATAGTTTTTAGGGACTGGGGAGGGCCTATGACTCAAAAGTCCAGCTCATCTCTTTCTATTCTTAATCATTCTGGGGTGGTTTGGGCACAGCCCTGCCTAGACAGAGAGAAATGGAAAAAACTGGCTTCGTGAGTTATATGGCATCCCGAGAAGGGTCAAGGTCTTTATATTGACCTCATATAGGTAACTGAATTCAAGAGTGTGCTCCATTCATGCATTCATTCATTCATTTAGTCATTCATTCAGCAAATATTTTCTATTATCTTACTATATGCCACACTCTGTGCTAAGATTGGGGATGAAAAGATGAAGACACTGTTTCCTGCCCTAAAAGGGATAGTGGCAGGGTATGGTTAGACATGTACATAAATGATTGTAAAACAGTTTATGCATTTTGAAAGGGAAGATGGGGGAGATAAAGTGAAGAGGGGAAGATAAAGGATCACATAGAGAGACGATTTAAACCAGCTTGGGGTTTCACGGGAAAACTTCCTAGAAAAGATGATGCCTAATAGAAATCTGAGAGATGAATAAGGGAAGTTAGTTGGCCAAGGTTAAGAGTGTACTAGAGGAGGGTTCAGCACAAGCAAAGTGATGGAGACATGAAAGAGCATGGCACAATCATGAGAATGACAGGTGTGTAAAGAGGGAGGTAACAAAAGCTAAGATTGCGAAGGGAAGCAGTAGCCAGTTCCTGTGAAACCTTTTAAGCCGGGATAAGGAGTTTGGATTTTACAATAAAGGAGGGTCATTGAAAAGAAAGTGACATGAACATGTTTGTGTTTTGGGTAAAGTGAGGAGAATAAAAGAGAATAGGGAGAGACTAGAGATATTTTGGTAGTCTAGGTGAAAAAAAAAAAGAAGGCCTGAACTAAGGGCTATGCGGCTGGAGCAGATGGAATGAATTCGAAAGAACATATTTAGGAAGTAGATCATACAGGACGTAAAAGCAAATGAATATGTGTAGGTGAGGGCAAGCGAAAAGTTTTGGAAGACCACCCTAATATGTGGGTGGCTCTTATCACTAAGATTGTGACTACAAGAGGAACAACAGAAAGGCAACTGAGGATGGAATTCAGGTCAAGTATTATGGAATGGGATAAAGTGTTTAAAGTCAGGCTATTTGGGCATTTGTGCCTCACTAGGAGGGAAGCAATGTAATTGAGTTGATAACATCTCCTTTTCCCAAGAAATATGACTAAAAACAGGCAAAACAAAAATAGAACTGACCCAACCCCATTTTTTAATTATGTAGATGCGGTAATGCAACCTTAAATCAAGAGATCCCAGTGTACGATGGAGAATATGCCAAGCACTGAAGAAAGGCAGTTGGATCCGGTGATCACTCTTCTCAGGCTAGGGAACCTTCTGGGCATTCTGTGGGATGGAATTTATGGAGATGAGTGTACCAATCAAGGTCCTGGCAGGAAACAGTGGTGTGCTCAAGGGGTTTAGCTAAGCTAAGCTTAATGAAGGGGCCATTTATGGTGGTGTAGGCAGGGTTAGGGAAATGCAACATTCTAATCCTGTCCCTAGAGTCCCTGCGTGATGCAAACGGTTTGCACTCAACAACTAACCTAAAGGCTGGCAGTTTGAACCTACCCAACAGCACTGAGGAAAAAAGGCCTGGCGATCTGCTTCTGTAAAGATTATAGCTAAGAAAACCATGTGGGGCAGTTCTACTCTATAACACATGGGGTTTCCATGAGTAAGAACTGACTTTATAGCAACCAGTTAGGCAGGGTTAAGGGAACCTACAAGTGATGGTGAGACATAGAGAAACTATCAACGGTGGGGAGCCATTATCACTCCTAAGACTGAAGGGGCAAGGGAAAAAATGGTGTTATTGGAACCAAGCAAGAGCTGTAGTAATGTGAGAGGGGGTGCCTGACAGGAGCTATGGTTTTAGGTAGCAGAATGCAGTCTCTGACTAAATGCAACGTGGTAGGGAGGGAGACGGGGGAATAAATATCTATATCTCACTCTCTTCTTGCTCTCTGATCTCTTGCCAGTGTCTACCATTAGCCAGACCCAGCCCTATGCCAGCTGGCAAGGAAGCCTGTTGATACAGTCCATTGAGGTCAGCCTCCTTTGGCACAGAGCATGGCAGAGAAGGGCAAAGAATGTATCTTGAGGGTGTGAAGGGGAAAATGGAAAATACCAGCTCAGTGATTGTTCTTTGCCTCTGACACTACAATTCTCTTACACATGGCTTCCCAGGAAGTGCATGCTTTGTTTCCACGCCATGGCCCAGATATCTAAACCCACTGTGTAGTGTTTGCCCCCTAGAGGGGAGACTGAGCAGGAAGGGGTTAATTTGGGGGAGAGAAAAAAAAAAGCTATTTCAAAAGACTGTCACCCTGAATGTAGAAGTTAGTTGGCATGTTTCCACCCCTTTTCCGGGGAAAGGGGACAGGATTTTAAAAGGGATTTTTTTTTCTGTGAAGAAACCATGCAGGCAGGGGCTTTTATTCAAAAAGGGTTCCAGCCTCATGTTCAATTTGAATTTAAATTTCCCTCTGCCTGTGTCTGGTTTCTTTCCTTCCAAGTCTTGTTTTTGCATAAATGTCTGACTAGCCTGTTTTTGTTTTTGTTTTCCTTTTTCTGTGGCCTGGAGTAGGCTCTTAGAAGCTAAGCCTGCCTCCTCTGCTTGCTGTTGAGTCAAGAGGAGGGAGAGCCCATGGGCCTAGTGGAGGGCTGGATGAGTGAACTAAGGACTTCAAAGACTCTGTGGTTTGTCCTGTGCTTGGCTGGCTGTCATGCTCTCTGCCTGTGTGTGCAGCCTGGGTACTTAACCATGGTTCCTTTCTGACAGTGGTCGGGGGGGTCAGGGTGGTGGAGGCTATTCATCCCGACTAACTTACAAGCGCAGTTGGCCAAGTATTTCTTAAGATTCCATATAGCAGGACAGTGCTTTCAGAAAAGAATGCTAGGTGGATGGCAACTGCCCAACTGGCATGTCATTGTGTCTGTAGGGTAAAAATTTCTATACCTAGAGTGGCCCTTGATAAGCCACCCATGTTAAGTCACTTAACTGCCCTCTCCCTACTGTCATTCCTCACTGTCCCTGCTCCCAGGGGAGCAGCTGCTTCCATTCCCTTATATCCACTGGTGACTTCCAGTCAGTGGGGTCCTCCTTGCAGGAGCATGTGCTCCAACCAAGAAGGAAAGGCTCTGGTTTCTGGGAAGGGGACTTCTGGCTTCTGCAAGAGTAGGAGGTGAAATGATGTTTTGGCTAAATAAGCAAAAAGCCTGGGAGTACAAGGGAATGAGGAAGCTGCTGGTAAGCAGAGGCTGTCAAAAAGCTGCACTTGGAGGGAGGGTCTGGCTCCTTCATAATGTGAAAGGAACACTTTCCTCAGAGCCTGAGTTTCACTTTCTTTCAAAACACTAATGTGGACAAGCTTAGGAATTGTATTTGCTCCCAAGGCAGCCTGTCGGTGGGAAAAAATGGAACTTTCAAGAAAACTAATAGTGAATGCATTTTGTAACGGATGGAAGGCATCCCACTTGGTGGCTTGAGGGGAAAGGTGTGCTATTTCTAGAACTCACAATCAATCTCCAACTAGGCCAAGTAAAGATTTCTTAGCAGATAGGAGGTAGGACCCTTCCAAGGAGTCATCTCCGCCCTTTGTCCTTGGTTTAAGAGCATTTTCTGAGCTGGAGGGGGGCTGGAGTTGAAGGGTATTTATTACTGGCCTCTCCCTCAGATGTGGAGAGATGCATTTACAGCTTCAATTTTCCTCTTGTCTATTTATAAGATTAGGCTCTCCCAGCGTTGATCTCTTCTCTAAATGCATCGAACCCCCACTGAGTCCTCAAAGCTAACAGCAAATAAACAGTTGCTATGTCTACACACAAATGATTTAGATTTTCATTATACAGGGCCACTGATATGTTAGGAGGCAGAAGTAGGAGAAGACAAAATGCTTGGTTTTGACTGCAGCACTGTATTCTGCTCCTTCTTCCCTCTCCTGAAAGGAGGCCCCAGAGCACAGTACTTGGGAGAGGGGGCCATCAAGGCCAGCTGGTGCTCTTGTCCGCAGCCCCTGATGCTGGCTCCTTTTCATGCAATGCCTCTGCTTCCTGGAGAGGTGGTGGCAACTACAGGCAGGAAATAAGTGACAAAGCTGCTAGAAAGATC